TGATAATACTTAAGTCTGCATTCTCAAATTTTTTGTTTGGCCAGAACCCCAGAAACGTCTAATGACCGGTCTCGCTGAGACACCCTGTATAGTTGTTAGGGCTCGTACATACATACAATAACCAAGATAATTGCATTTGCTGGTTTTACGATATTTTCAATTTTGGCCTCTAGGGGAAAAACAAAAGACGATAGCACTTTGAGGTTTTCGACATTGGATTTTTTTTTAAAGAGATAGGGACATGTAAGCTACTTTTTTTCTAGCTCTTATAGTTTCCGAGATAGCCTATTCGAACATCGAATTTGAACCACTCTGTACGTCTCACTGCACGATATTGAAGAACCTCGCATACTTTTTTTACCACTCATACTTGCAAATATCGTAACACACTTCGTAAACACTAGTAGTTTTTAACTTTTGCCGTTGAAACGCGAAAAGCAAACTAAATGTCTAAAGCCGTGTGTCCACTACCAAGTTTCTTGCGGAAGTTGCTTCCAGAAGTGACTTCCGCAAGAAAACTTGGTAGTGGACACACGGCTTAACTAATCTTAAAATATTGTGTTTTATATTCAACACCTTGTATAAGTATGGAATCTATAGCAGAAACCACAAGAGGTGGCAGTGACAGATCGCTTAAAAATGGTATGAATCAAGATATGGACGTACGACTTAAATTATTTCACCACATACATTAATGTAGGTTATGTTAGTAATGGAGGTTATATGTCAAACATTTTCAAAGATATTATTTAATGATTTTCCTTTAAAAAAAAACATTTTTGGCTTATGAAAACACTAACAGATTCATGACAACGCTCACAAGACGTTTCGATTTGAGGTTATAATTATAGAGCATATACAGGATGTCCCAGACCACCCGTACTAGCCGATTTATTCGGAAACGGTGAGTCCTAGAGAGTTGAAATAAAAAATTCGTCAACTAAAGCAGACACCCTCCTTCTAGATAGTGTGTTACGACCGACCAACAACATCCGGAAGTGGGTGCAATTGAGTAGTACTTTAATATTTTATATGTAAAGAGGGGTCAATTACGATATCATCGTAAAGAACTCTTCAATAGAAATCTCTTTCGCTTGAAAAAAATTTTTATATTGCTAATCGTTTTCGAAATAATAAACCCTAATTGTTGGTACTTTTTACCGGTGTTATTTAAGTTGACAAATAGATGTCGCTATTCGTCGTTTTGAAAAATCGTGTAATTTAGAAATGGCTGGTTAATAACAAGAAATTGTTTTTACTAACAAAATGAATAAAATAACAAGGAGTTTTTTTTACCACAGAAGAATATTACAAAACACTAAATAATAAAACTTAATAAATTAAAGTAAAAATACCAGTTCTTATTAAACAAATGAATAAAATAACTATGGAAAGGAATTATTTGGACGACAAAACGACACAAAACGCTCAATCTAATAAAAAATTAACAAAATCAAGATAATAAAGATTATAAATGTTCAAATTGTCTACCATTTTGAGCAACACATTTTTCAAGCCGGAGCCTTACACTATCTACCGCATTTAAAATTTCTCTTGCACTTAAATTCTGACACGCTTCTTGAATTCTGTTCTTCATTTCTTCCTTTGTTGTTGGTCGATGTTTATAAACTAAATTCTTAAGTCGACCCCAAAGATAGAAATCAAGAGGGGTCAAATCGGGTGATCGTGCTGGCCACGCCACACAACCTCCTCTTCCAATCCATCGCCCAGGGAATTTTTGGTCACAAATCGCACGAGATACCGCAGCATAATGTGCTGGGCAGCCATCTTGTTGTAGCCACAATCTCCTCCTTATTGCTAGTGGAATGTCACCCAACAAATCATGCTGCAATGTGCCAGCAAGAAATTCCGCATACCTGCGACCATTGAGAGTGCCATCAAAATAAAAGGGCCCAATTATGGTGTCGCCCAAAATCCCGCACCACACATTTAGAGACCACAGATTTTGATTGTTCATTTCAACCATCCAATGGGGGTTAACTTCTGACCAGTAGTGGGCATTGTGCAGGTTTAACTGCCCATTACTTTTAAATGTCGCTTCATCTGTCCAAAGGATATTCCGATGAAAAAATTGAGTTTGGCCTAATAACCAATTACAAAATTGTAATCGGTTATTAAAATCTTGATCTCTTAATTCTTGGCAAAGATTTACATGATAAGCGTAAAATTTATTTTCTTTTAATATCCGTTGGACTGAGCTCTTGGTGATATCGAATTCCCTTGCCATATCACGGACGGATAAATGAGGGTATAACTCAACACCGGCTATTACCTCCGCTGTTCGATTGTCTTGCACGGTTCTTTTTATTCTGTGTCTGATGTTGTGATTAGGACGAACTACCCCAAATCGCTTAACTCTACAAGCAAGACGACTGAAGACATGACGACTTTG